GAGAGAGCGCGCCGCGGAGCGAGTCGGGCCTGGCGCTGCCGAACCGAGCGGGCCGGGCGGCGGGGATGCGGGCGGAGGGCCGGGAGCCGCGGTTGGCTGGTTACGCGGGGAACTGGGAGGGAGACTCCCAACACCCAAAGCGTCGCCGCACACCCGCGCGCACACACTCGCTCACTCGCACAGTGATAGGACTCATTTCCCTCAAAATAATGGGTTCAAATTGCAGCAACTAAGAAAAAAATAAATCCAACTCTTGATCTGGAAGAGGAGGGAGTGGAGAGGCTTTGTGGCGGGGAGAGAAAAATCGTGTCAGTCCCTTTTCCGTGGGCTCCCGAGGCGATTGTGGTGGCGGGCGAGGGTTTCTCCAGAAGCTCCTGGTTGGACGTCTGTCGGGGGGAGCGCTGCCAGCCATCTCCCACCTGCCAATCAATCTCTGGGAAATGCACCCGGCTTCCCACTCCCCAACCCCTTCCCAGCGGCTCCACTCCCTGGAACACTTTTCAAGTTTCTCTCCACCCTTTGCGCTCCCTGCGGCCCAGACCCCAGCCAGATGGGCGGGCGGGAGTTGGGGGTTGTGAGCAGCCCTTCACTGCCTTCCCTTTGCTGCCTCTGGGGGCCATGGACCCCGTAGCTGGTGGGAAGAGGAGAGAGGGAGGCCAAAGTTTGCTTCCTCTGGTGAAGAAGGAGAGTGAGGGAAAAAACCGGATCTGAGCAAAGCCCACTGCTCATTCTGTGAGCTGCCTCCTCCACGCGGAGGAAGGAGGCGCTGCCTGGTGCCGGTGAACCCGGGCAGTCTCTTTCCCACCCAGAATTCCCTGCCCGTCGCCCCCTTTGATGCAGCTGCTTGAGAAACAGTGGTAAAGAGAGCATTCTGGGGGTGGAGGTGAGGAAAAGAGGGTGTTTGCAAGGCTGTGTGCTGACCAGGAGTCCCAGGCAAGGCTGGTGGCCAGGAGTAGATGCTCCAGAGAGGGGGGCAGGTAACTTGTGTGTGTGGGTGTATGTTGAAGGAGCACTCATCTGCTTCAGTGTGGGTGCTGTACCTGCCACCCTGGCTTGCTGTGTAGCCAGTGGTGAGCCAGGCTGCTCAGCTGGGTCATGAGCACCCTTTTCCTCCTGGACCAGGAGAGAGAGGAAGGCTGGGGAGGTAGGTGCTTGTCACAGGAAGATGTGGATGATCTAGAGGACGACTAGGACAGGGGAGACAGTCAGTGTTGGTCGGGCCCTGGCCCTTTGTCCACCCCCCTCCTCTGCCCTCTCCCGAAGGCCCGAGTTCCCCAGGGGGCAAGGCCCTGATCTAGGGTGTGGCCTTCACGCCTGCCTCCCTCAGCCTGAGGGTGAGAGGGGCTGAGGGAGGCAGCTGTGAAGGTGCTCTGGGCTGCTGTGATCTTGCAGCCTTTCGCTGCAACCCTCTGCAAGCGGACTCTCATTCTGAAGGAGCTATTATAAAACCTGACCTTTTCTCCCACTGCTGGTTTGAAAACCTGGCTTTTTGGGGCCAAGAATAAGCAGGGTGAAGGAAGAAAGAAAATTGTATTTCAGGAAAAGCAGCCAGATTGTCCACTGCTGAGCTGCACACACCCCGGGCCGCCAGAGCTCCCAGGTGTGGGTGCCTTCTGAGGTCTCTGGTGGAGGAGGGCAGTGTGGGCCCCTCAGGCACCTCCAGGCCCAGACCCCCATGTTGCAGGCAGCCTTTTCCCAGCTGAGGCGGCTGAGGAGTGGACTCTGTTCCCATGGTGTCTGTGGGGGTGTGTGTGGGGGCATGGTCAGAGACGCCTACCCTGGGGTCTGCCACTCTGGGGGCTGAGTGCTGAGAGGAGGAGTGAGAGCTGGAAAGGAATAGGGGGCGGCCAGCTGCCCCGGTCACAGCCCTTCAGTTCCCTTCTCTTGAGAAGCCCCTTTCCAAAGCCAGGGTGAGGGGTTAGCTGAGTGAGCACAGAAGTTTGCAAGGCTCTGAGTTAGGCTTGCCACGGAGGAAGGGATAGGTTGCTGTAAAGGAAACTTCAGCCTCAGAGCCCCTTTCCCAGCAAGGAGCCCACAGTTGGGAGTTGGTTGGAAATTCCATTTGGGGGTGAGGGTTTTCTGGACCTTGAGACTTGGTGGGCAGTTTCAGTTGGGGGCTTGGTGAAGCATGTTCCCAGGAGCAGGGGCCTTCGGGGTGCTCCTCCCGAGGTTCTGGGCGAGGTCTGGGGGTGGAGAGGCCTTCCTGGCCCAGCCATCCTGACTGCCAGTGTTGACATGGTCGGAGAGAATGAGATGAGGAAAGTGGTGGGGGGCGGGGCTGATCAGAGGGCCCACTTCCACTGTAGCTCTTGGGGGGACATCCGATGCAGGAGGGTCCTTGTAGCTCTGTGTGGTCTCTCAGTCTCCTTGTGTCTCTAGAAGCTGCTCTACATGTCTTTTCTTGATGGGTGTGAGTTTTCCCCTGATCTGGAACTTGGACTCTAGGATACCTTCCAGCCTTTACTCTCCTGGAATTGTTGGCGAAAGGCTCTGAGTTGCTGTGATTTATTTCTCTGGCTGGCTTGATTAGTTCCACGGGTCATGACGCTAACTAAAAGAGTCAGGGATGGGTGGCAGTCAGGGAGTTTGTGTGGTGACAGGATGCACCGAACCTCTGCAGAGCATCTTCCTGCCTGGATCACATGTGCCAGCTGGCAGGATGGGGGAAGCCCTTGCTTTTGGCACAGGAGTCTAGGCTTCTGTAAGGACTTTCCCTTGGGGCTGTAGACCCCATCTGTAGAGCAGGAGGAGTAAATGTTCTCATTGTTCCCATCTCCTGGGCTAATGTCCTGACCTTTAAGCCTGCCAAGGATGGCCCTTTCGCAGTCTTTCTCCGACAGTGCAGCCTCAGGGGCAGTCAGGGTAGGAGGGGAGAAGCCTGCTGGGATGCTGGGATGCCAAGTCAGTGGGAGGCCCAGGACTGGGCCATTCTTGAGGCTCTAGCAGGCTGGCTGGCAGTCTGGCTGGGTGGGGGCAGCATGTGCCAGGGAGTCTGGTTAGCTCAGCGGCTCCTGGGTGGCCCAGATGCACACGAGTCCTGCTGAGGGACCTAGGAGTTTGCTGAAGCCGGGGAATAAAGCTGCTGCCTCAGCTTGGGCGGAGGACATCTCTCCAGCTGATGCCTGAGCGGATGCCCCGCTGTCCATGCTGGCACTCCATGCTGGTTTCTTTTCTGGTCTTGTCTCTGCCTGGCGACAGCCTTCAGCTCCTCCTGTCCTGAGGCAGAGGTGTGTCAGTGGGAGAAGGAAATGCCTTTTGCTCTGGACCCCGAGGACGTCTCCACTCCAGGCCCACTTCTGCTCCTCTTTTCCGCCTTCTTGTGGGCTAGGCCCGGTCCCTCTAGGAGGGATGCCGGCTCTGTGGGGAGTGACAGGCTCTCGGTGCAGCCTTCTGCCTCCAGGTGTCGCTGTCTCCCTGCGGTAGCTCCCCTGAGCAGGGCCTCCTAGGGGAGGAGTCAGAAGTGGTGGTTCTGGGTAGACATGGGGAGATTCTGTGGGATTCTGAGGAGGGGACTTCTAGCCTAGGATCATATTATGTTTCGGGGCAGGATGGAGTGGAGGAAGCCTCCCCGATCATTCCTTGGGTCTTGGAAAAGCCAGTCTTGGCTCTGGGCCGTGGTCTGGGTCTTTTCTAGGGCAGGATCTGGAATGAAAGGCTGTGAGAGGGCAGGGAGACTGAGAAGAGGTCTGTGTCTAGAGGAAACCATTTTAGAGGTTGATTTGGAAAGGACCAGGCGGGCTTCTTCCTGCCCTTCACTTCTAAATCTTTTTCCCCGACCCCTCCCCTCCGAGGACTGTGGGTTTGGGCACACTGGGGACTTGCAGTCAATGGATGAGAAGGGTGCCCTAATTCCTGCTTGCTCTTTTGGAGGGGGAGGCTCCATGTGTGGGACCAGCGGCTGAGGACCAAAGCTCTTTCCCTTTTGCAATTGATTTATTGTTTGGCTTTTGGAAAGAAGAGAAAAAAGGAGAGACAGACGGGAAGAGGGTTTCAGGGGAGGGCAGGGAGGAAAGGAAAGAGAAAAGGAAATAGGAGGTGATGTAGAGAGAGAACACAAGGCCATTTGAAGAGACAGGGTGATGGAGAACTAGACCTCTTAGGAGGAAGTCGGAAAGAGAAGTGTGTGAGAGAGACAGGGAAAAGGCACGTTGAGAGGGCTAGAGGGAGAGAGGGAGGGAGAGAGAGAGAGAAAGTGGAGTTGTTCGGCAGGCATTTTCTACAGCAGTTTCTTTTGGCGGGGACTGGGGTGGAATATGTCCGTGGAAGGCACGTTTTCAGGTCCCGGCTGGAGTGAAGCTGGGCTGGAAGGTGTGGAGGGGCTGGGCTAGCGAGGGGTGGCTCCTCCCTTCTGGGGTTGCCTCAGACCACAGGGTTAGGTTGGTCTCTCTGGGTCTTCTCTTAACCTCTTGGAGCTCAGAATGAATAGGCTAGGGGTCTGAGGGGCCTTTTTGGCCTTGTGTGTGATCTTGAGTTGTCATCTCCCTTCTTTGGGCCTCAGTTTCCCCCCAGTAAAATGTGGGGGCTGGACTGTGTGGTCTCTAAGGTCCCAACAGGCTATGAAAGTTAAATTATTTGCTGCTGCTTTCAAGGCTCAACCCAGCGCCTTGCCTGGCCCTCTGGTTGGACCTGAGGTTGGGAGAAGTCCCGGGTAATATGAAGGTGCGATTCCCCCTCTGCACATGCTGGAGGGCCCTGCAGCTCCTGGCCCTCTGCTGAGGCTGTGACATTCTTCTCTGGCCTTCTGGCATCTTAGATCTCTGTGGTCTTGAGCGAGGGCCTTCTGACTTTACTGTGCTGTGCTCCTGGGACCGTGGCCCGGAGCCACGGGCTGGAACCGGAGGAGAATCTGGTAGAGCCAGGGCAGAATGGCAGCTTGAGTCTGCTTTGGGTTTGGGGAGGGGTGGTGGTGTCTTGGGATCCTTTAGCAGCCCTTCCTCTGATCTCTCTGTTGGGGAAGGCAGCATGGAGCTGGCCTTGACGTGCTTTGGAATAAAATGGGTATGAAGTTCCCAGAAGGGCCCAAGCCCCCAGGCTTGCATCTTGGGTCAGAGGTTGTGGTGCCCTCATTCATGCTTGTCTTCCCTCCCCACCACCCAGACGAGACCCTCCGCTCTTTGGCCAGCCCTTCCTCCCTGCAGGGCCCCGAGCTCCACGGCTGGCGCCCCCCAGTGGACTGTGTCCGGGCCAATGAGCTGTGTGCGGCCGAATCCAACTGCAGCTCCCGCTACCGCACGCTGCGGCAGTGCCTGGCGGGCCGGGACCGCAACACTATGCTGGCCAACAAGGAGTGCCAGGCGGCCCTGGAGGTCCTGCAGGAGAGCCCGCTGTACGACTGCCGCTGCAAGCGGGGCATGAAGAAGGAGCTGCAGTGCCTGCAGATCTACTGGAGCATCCACCTGGGGCTGACTGAGGGTAAGCCTGGGCGGCCCTCCAGGGGGAGGCGCGGTGATGGTGGTGGTGAGGGTGTGTGGGGGCCCAAGGTTCAGAGCGAGGACTTGGTGATGGAGTGAATTGTCTCGCTCTCTATCTCCACCTGCCAGGGGTACCTAGAACCCAGAGGAGGTAGCTGCTGACCTAGGAGGGCAGCTGTTGTTGGAGGAGGCCAGGAGAGACGAAGAAGAAGGAGGGGTGACAGCTGAGGAGGAGAGGGCCAGGCGGTGGGAAAAGGAGAACAAGACTGGAGAAAGGAGAGGGGAGCAGAGGTTGGGGGAGAGGAATAAACCAGGGAAGGACAGATGGACGGACAGCGGAACGGAGGAACGTGTGAAGTGGTAACAAGAGAAGGTGAGGCAGGAGTTCCAGGGCGGATGGGGTGGTGAGAAGGAGGGGGGGCAGACGGCAGGCTGTGCACATGCAGAGCTGTGCCGCGAGAGCAAACCGGCCCCTACTCCCCGCTGCCGGGCGCTGAGCTGAGGGCTGTCCCTTCCCATTCTTCCTGCTCCCAAGAGGCCTGCCCTGCACGTGGCTTCCTGACCACAAGGCTGGCCTGGGCACCTCCTATGGGGCTTGGAGCAGTGTGAGGGCAGCGGGGCCTGCATCCCTTGGCAAGCCCCCTCCAAGTCCCAAGGCAGAACCTGTAGTCCCCCCACCCCCCAACACCCACCTCCCCCCTTTCCTCCCCCTCCAGACTGGAGTGTGGAGGATTTGCAGATACTGTGGGAGGGTGGCCACTTGGGTCAGACGTTCATTTATTAATTCAACAACTGTTTATTGAGAGTTTACTGTCTGCTAGGCATTTGGGAACAATCAAGAACAAGCTGGGGCAGCCTCCGCCTCCGTGGAGCTCATAGTCTGGGGGATGTGGATAAGTCAGCGGCTTTCTGTCATCTGGTGGTGTGAGGGCTGTTGGAAAGCACCGGGGGCTGTGGTAGCACTGAGGAGGGGCACCTTCCTGGAAGACGCAGCCTCGGAGCTGAGACTCGAGTGAGCTGCAGTTATGGTGAAGGCATACGGGGAGAGCGTGGGAGGTGGGGGGGAGCCTGGGCGAAGGCCTGTGTGTGCGAGAGCTGAACTTGCTCACAGACCTGCAAGTAACTCAGTATTGTAGGGGGGGAGTAGGGGCTGCAGTGGGGTGAGGAGGGGGGAGCGGGTATGGGGTCTGGCGAGCAGCGGGGAGCCCTGAAGGGTTTTCAGTGAGATGATCCATCTCTGCTTCAGGACAGTGTTCACGTGGTTCCAATGAAGAGAGTAGACTGGAGAGTGTTTGGAGGCCACTGTGAGATACAGGCCAGGAATAACGGTGGCTGGACGAGGGCAGCGGCAGGAAAGAAGGGTCTGAGAGCTGTTTAGGAGGTAGAATCAACAGGTCTTGGTGAAGGGAGAGAGGAGCCAAGGACAGCACGTGTCTTCTGTCTTGGGCGACTGGGCAGGTGGTGGGGCCGTTTACAAGAAGCAGCGGAGGTGTGAGTGAGGGAGGGCCGGGAGATGCTGAGTTTATTCTGGGGCCTGTGCCTCTTGTTGGCCGTGCCCTGCAGATAGCTGGGCCTGCAGGGCTGGAGCTCAGGAGAGGAAGTAGGACTGGACATGGAGATTTTGGAGTTGCCAACAGCCTGGTTAGGTGTTAACCAGGGCCAAGGGAGTGGGTGCTGTCACACTGGGAGGAGGGCAGGGACAGAGCCCCGGGGCCACTGACATTTAGAGATGGGCAGGGGAGGGGGACAGCCCGGTGGCGCAAGTGGTTAAGTGCGTGCGCTCCGCTGCGGTGGCCCGGGGTTCGCAGGTTCGGATCCCGGGCGTGCACTGACGCACTGCTTGGCAAGCCATGCTGTGGCGGCCTCCCATATAAAGTGGAGGAAGATGGGCACGGATGTTAGCCCCAGGGCCAGTCTTCCTCAGCAAAAAGAGGAGGATTGGCAGATGTTAGCACAGGGCTGATCTCCTCACACACACACACACACACACACACACACACACACAAAAAGAGATGGGCGGGGGAGGAAGGGAGGCCTGCAGGGGTGCTGAGGAGGCTCTAAGGGAAAGAGGGAGGGCCAGTGAGACACCTCCAGGGGAGCTCATTCTCACAAGAAGGAGAGTCACAGCCTCCAATAGTTCAAGTCCAGCAGGAGAGGGTGGACAAGGGTCCCTGATGCCATTGGGTGAGCTTCTTAGTGGCTGCTGGGAGCAGAAGCCTGGTTGGGGGGTGAATGGGAGCCTGGGAGCTGGAAATGATGACTGTGGACAACAGCTTCTACAAGTTTGGTCTGAAGAAGAGAGAAGAACGAAGAATAACTTTTACTTTTTAAAGATTCGAGAGGGTTGAGCAGTTTAAATTCTAAGGTAGGAGAGTGGTGATGGAGATGCTGAGGTGAAGAAGAGTGAGGGATATTCTTGGAACCGTGCCCTTGGGAGAGGGGAGAGGTGGGCCAGGGCACTGGGAAGGGGTTAGTCTTAGGTTCGAGGAGCAATACCGCCCTCAGCTGCTGGAAGGGAGGATGGAAACGGATCAGGTGTGGAGGCTGTATGGCGAGGGATTCCTGACCAGTGGCTGAGGTACTTGGAACATGCCCTGAGTATAGGAACGAGCTGGGCATGTAATTATTAATAGTGTCACCACCACTAGTAACAAAGTAACTGCTCGTGAATCAGGTGGTCACTCCTCCCACTTCCAGCACCCTTGAGTCCTAGACCCAGAGTGAGCAGAGGGACACTGCCCCAGTGCCCTGCTCTTGACTCTGAGACGAGGAGCTGTCTTCCTCCTGAGGCTGACTCTGTCATGCACAGAAAGTTAGGGTCCCTGATTCAGCGAGCTGGGTTGTTTAGTTTCTTGTCTTCTTTCTGGCAGCCTTCAGTTTCAACCCAAGGGAGATTGGGCAGTAGGCTGGGGTGGGTGTGCCTCGGGCTGCAGAATGGACAGGGAAGGGGACGGGAACTGCCAGCTAGACGAGCCAGTGGGCCGCCTGAGGACCGTCCCACCTGAGTGGCTCCCTCCAGCATCACTGCATCAGAGCACAGAGGACCTGGCTGGAGAAGTGAGGCGTTTTGAGGATAACGATACGCATGTTGTGCATTTATGCTGCGTACTGCCGTGTGGTCGTCATCGCCCTTTCCACCCAGGAATGCCTGACTGAGATGGCTTCGTTCTGAGTCTTGAGATGGTTTGTTGGTTCATTCACTCCACAAACATCTGTTGAACACCGACTGTGTGCTTCAGAGGGTGAGGGCACGAAGAAGCCATGTTCCCTGTGCCAGCCAGCGTGCAGGCTGGGAGACCCTTCTCCTGGGCCCGCTCTAGAAAAGCAGACCCTGCTTTCCTCCTTCCTCAGAACCCTGCCTTCCCCCTGCTGGGATCCCACAATCCCTGCCCCCTGGGTGCCAGAGGTAGTTCCTGCCTGGGGCTCACCAAGGGAAGCCGAGGGGCCCTTTAACAGCAGGTAATGTTCCTATGAGTGACAGGATCCAGCTGAGAGTGAACTATTCATGGTGTGGCGGAGTGGTCCCCTTGGGGGAGGCTGCACGCATTTCCTCCCTATTCCTTAATAACACTCAGTAACCTGCTTTTGCCTGGGGTGGGGCGAGGATCTCAGAGAGGAGAGAACCCTGTGGGTTTGCATTTGGATTCTGGCTTCTGCTTGGCCCACTGGTGGGCACATTCCCCTGGAAACTTGGCCCCACCTTCTCCCTCTACCTGAGGCTGAGCTCGTGGTGCAGAGTCTGAGCATGTGGACAGAACTGGTGGTGACAGGAATGTGGCCTCTGCTGAGCTTCTAGACAGTCCCAACTGCAAAGGACCTCGAGGTCATTTGGTCCCACCCCCATTTGGATGGGGAAGCTGAGGTGCAGGGAGCCCGAGTGGCTTCCTCGGGCCCCCGACTCCTTATCTAGACTGCTTTCCACTGCCCTGGGGGAGAGCCTGTGGCCTTGGTCCTGTCTTCCCCTTTTGTCATCACCCCACCATAACCACCAGTATTTACACGGAGGGGCTGTTGCTGTGGAACCTGAGCCAGGCTTCTTGCCTTCCCCAAAGGTGGCACTGAAGTTCAGGATCACCCTGGCCCTTCAGACGAGAAGAGCAAAGGCTTCTCCTGCGTGTCCTCTCCCTGGTCGTGGCCCGGGAATCTGACATCCTGGGTTTGGTGCCAGGGTGCCTGAGTGGCCCAGGTCTTGGATTTTCCACTGGTGAATTCTACTGCAGGACCAGGTGACATGAGTTGACTTAAATTCGATGGGCGCCTCCTAACCAGTCCTGGAAGAGGCTGTTTTTGCCCAGAGCTCCCCACACCCCCCCAAGTCAGTCATACTATCTGATCTGTGCTCAGGTGCATAGCCGTGCCAGATGCAGTAGGGAAGGACTGGCCCTGCTCTGGGCGAGCGTCCTGGGGCAGGAGGCTGATCCTATGAAAAGTTAAACAGCAGTAGTATTTGTTTAAGAACAATTTGGTTTCAATAACACTTTTTATTTTTGGTGATAGTATTCATAATGGTTAATACTTGGACTCTGGGGCCAACAGCCTGTGTTTGAAACCTGGCTCTGCCACCCACAGCTGTGTGGCCTTGGGCACGTTACTTAGCGTCTCTGTGCCCCAGTTCCTTATCAGTAAGATAGGGAGAATCATGGTGCCTACCTCATAGAGAAATCCAGAGGATTAAATGGGTTGGTCCATCTAAAGCACTTCCAGTAGTGCAGGCAGGTAGAAAACACAGTATAACATCGTTTTTATGATAAAAGTGCTTCCTAAGCTCTTACATTATTTGGCCCCAACAAATAGCAATGGCTGGTGACCCCCCCATGGGCCATTGGGGAGAGTGGAGGACATTAAGACCATACAGGCCCCTGAGGCCCTGCAGGCCCCAGGGGGAGGTGGGACTGGAGAGGCCTGGAAGTATGGGTAACGTTTGGAAGGTCAGTTGGCAAATGGCAGCGGGGTACTGCCTGTGTGTAAGGCACCCTGTGCGCTAGGTGTTAAGGGCATAAGGGTGCTGCTTTGAGGTAAAGTGAAGGGTGGGCCGTTTCTCCAGGGGAATGCACTTCCTCTGTGTCCCCAGGGTCTGTGTCCTTTTCTGGGGATCTGCGGGGTATGGCAGACAGACGCCTTGCCCTGTGCACGAGCAGAGTGCTAGCCTCTGGGTGACCTCACGGGCCTGGCTGAGCCAGCTCCCCATGGTGGAACCTGAGGCCCCTTTTCTGGGTGGCAGGTGGCCCCCATGGATGCTGACCCCCCGATGTGCTCCCCCTTAGGGGCTGCCTGCCGTGGCGCTGGGTTCTGGGTGGATGGGAAATCGATGTGGAGGCTGTGGGTCATCAACTGTCTCCCCGCCCCTCGACACACGCGCGGTCTGAGTGACTCTCCATTGATTTCTCCTCATGAGTGTCTCAGGAGCATGTTTCCCTTCCTGCTGGGGTGTTGGCAGGGGGGCAGGAGTCCTGAGGAGGTGGTGGGGCATCTCCACAGCAGCCCTGTGCCACTTATCTCTTGTCACTCACTTGCTTTCCCATTTGCTGAGCCTCTGATGCTCCCTGAAGCCTCAAGGTGAGGTCTGAGAAAGACAGCAGGTGGTGGGGAAGACAGGAAGAGAGTGGAGGAGGGGCCGGGCAGACGGGAGCTGGGCTCAGGCCTCGGCTCAGTGGACCTTTAGCTCTTCCAGCCAGATTCTTCTGGTGACAAGCTGGAAACAAAGAGGCCATTCTGTCCCCTTGAGTGGCCTGGGCAGAGCGAGCCTGGTGTGATGAGAGAGAGTGCCGGTGTGAGGGCCAGGATACTGGATTCCAGCCCTAGCTCCGCCATGAGTAGCTGTGTGATCTCAGGCAGGCTGCCTCACCTCTCTGGGCCACCTGGGAGCCCTCTCTTGTGAAATGCGGCCGCTGTACTGAATGATGGTGGAGGGCCCTTCCGCTTCCATCCTGTGCTTTGTACCTGGTCTTTCGCAGGCTATCATGGTTCCACCTCCTCTGTGCCTTCTTTCCAGAGGCATTTGGAAGTCCTTGGAAGAGGGCTGCTCGTGCAGGGAGGTCGTGAGAGGGCAGTACGAGGCATTCTGCCCTGCTCTAGTGGGAGAGCGGGGGCACGCCCAAGCAGTGTCCAGCATTCTTGCCAACACGTGCCGGCTTGACAGGCGCTTCCACTTTGGGAAGGAGGGGCCTGGGCTGACACCGGCTCTCTCTTCCAGGTGAGGAGTTTTACGAAGCCTCGCCCTACGAGCCGGTGACCTCCCGCCTGTCAGACATCTTCAGGCTTGCCTCAATCTTCTCAGGTAAGTGGGCTTGCGCTGGGGCCTCGCCAGTTCTTCTCTCGTCCCCGCAGCCTGGTGAGTGGAGTCCGGGGCTTGGCGCTGCCGCTCACCAGCAAGCCCTTCATGTGTCTGGGCCTCGGGTCCTCCTCTGTGAAAAGGGAGACACAGGGGCTGGCCCGGTGGCCTAGTGGTTAAGTTCTGCACACTCTGCTTTTGCAGCCCAGGCTCAGGCCTACACCACTCATTGGCAGCCATGCTGTGGCGGTGTCCTGCATACACAATAGAGGAAGATTGGCACAGATGAAAAAAAAAAAAAAGAGACACAACATATATGTATATGGAGTAAAGTGTTTCTGGGAATTGTCTAGCATGAGCCTGCCACGTGGTAGTTCTTGAGTCTGAATCCTGATGTCACGCCCCTATTTTGTCACCTGTCTTCCCTTGCTGGGTCCTTCTTTCCGGTTCCCTAACTCTTCCGCTTCGGAGCTCTTCTACTTTGGTAGAGTTGCTCAACCTCCCTGTGCCTCAGTTTCCTCAGTTGTGCAAGGGAGGAGTACCTGCCTCGTTGGACTGTCATGAGGTCTAAATGAGCCAGTGGGTGAACAGGGCTCAGCGTGCTGCCAGGCACGCGAGCATCCTGGAACCATTGTTGTGGTGGCTGGTGTCAGCGTCACCAGCCGTTCTGCTCTGGGTTTCCCCGCTCCTCTGAGGGTCTACTTCTTGAATCCCACTGAGGGGCCCTCTGAGGGAGGACTCTGTCCCCAGCCACTGGCACCTCGGCTTGCTCCAGGAGTGAGAAGGCCCGTGCTGAGCCCCAGCTTTGTTTGCGTGATCCATGCTTGGGAGTCTGGTGTGTGTTTTGGTTCTTTCTTCTTGGCCTTGTTCCCTCTGGCATTTGGAGGACCAGGGGGCCCAGGGCAGTCCACCCCTGCTTGGGCTCTGGGGAGGGGCTTCTGGACTTGGGAACCTCTCTGTGGGGGGTGGGGACAAGCTCTTCCTGGAGTCACCAGTGGTGCTCAGAGGTGGCCAGAGCAGGCCTATTCCCTAGGATCTCTGAGTGCAGGGGCCTGGGCCTCAGGTTTCCAGGCAGTTTTGTGGCAGTATTTGAAGCTTGCTGAGGTTTCTTTTGCTCTAAACCAGGGTTTTTCAACAGTAGTACTGTTGACATTTGACCTGGATAATTCTCCCTTGTGGGAGGAACCGTCCCGTTCATTGTAGGATGTTTAGCAGCATCCCTGTTCTCTACCCACTGGATGCCAGTAGCAACCCCCCAAGTTGTGACAACCGAAAAGGTCCCCCGACATTGCCAAATGCCCCTGGGGCACAGTTGCTGTCAGTTGAGAGGCACCCCTCTAAACTGTGAGAGCAAGGACTCTCCGGTGACAACCTAGTCCTTACTAATGAAGAATTCTGTAGGACAGTGTTGCTCAAACTTTTTTTTTTATTATTACCCCTGCTAAGGAGAAAAACTAATTCTCTCTAACTAGAGAAATACTGTTTTAGTCAGCTTGGGCTGCCAAACAAAATGCCATAGACTGAGCTGCTTAAACAGTGGAAATTATTATCTCCCAGTTCTGGAGGCTGGAAGTCCAGGATCAAGCTCCAAGTCCACAAACAGCAGGCTCGCTTACTGGCGAGAGCTCTCTTCCCGGCTTATAGATGGCCACCTTCTTACCGTGTCCTCACAGTTGCGGGGGGCAGATCTCTTCCTCTTCTTATAAGGCTACAGTCCTCTTGGATTAGGACTCCACCGTAATGATGGTCATACTTCATTTATCCTTAATTACCTCCTAAAAGCTGTGTCCCCAAATATAGTCACATTGAGGGTAAGGGCTTCAGCATATGAAATTTTGGGGGCACAGTTCAGTCCATCACAAATGCCAAGGAAGGAAATTTTGTCAGATAGGGTTGAGTTTTGGAGGTCCAAAAACCACTGTAATATCTACTTTTTTGCCTATCCAAGAACCAATTTTTGTTCCCTTGGGGGTGATACCCTCTTATCCTGTTGAGAATGTATGCTCTAAGGGATTGAGATGGGATGATTTACAAGCCCTGGTGGGAGGATTCCCGGACCCCCATGAAAAGGAAGGCGCTGGGCAAAGGGCATCTGGATATGGTGGTGGTTGGGGTTGGTGGTGAATGGAATGGACACTTCACAGATGGTTGGTAGGTTGAGCACCCTGCTCTGGGCTCTCACCATCATAACCTGCAGTGGGGTATAGCAGAGGTATTGGGCTCAGAGCAGGTTCCCATCCTAGCTCTGCCTGTGGGCACTATGATCGCTCTGTGATAAGTCTTGCTCATCCGACAGGGCTGGACTGGATTGTGGGCTGACTTGAGGTCCCTCCTAGCACAGACATTCTGATCCTCACATTTCCTGATTAGCTTCAGATAGAAATTCACCTTGGACTGCTCCTTTCGAGACAGTGCTTAGGGTTCAGATGCAGGTTGAGGATATTATTGGCATGTGGATGCTATGGTGGGGATGTCCTGGCGGCCCCAGATGTACCCATTTCCCACCCTGCCAGTAGCTCAGGTATCAGCTGAGTACTACTGCATGGGTGGGAGGCATCTGGGTTTCCTCCAGTGAAGAAATAGCTTTGGCTTGCTCCCTGAAGGTTGAAGATCAGAGGTCCTCACCTTAGCTCAGGCTCCTGCTGCTTCCCTGACTAACATTAAGTGTCTTCTTAGCAGAAAATCTTTACGTAATGGACTTGACGCTCTGCGAGACAAGGGTGTTGACAAGACAGATGAGGAGATTACTGGGTCTGCAGCTCGCTGAATCAGCTTCCTTCACCTACTGCCCAGATGTAACTGGGCCCCACACGACCCTGGATCCCTGGGCTCTGGGGACTGCTCCCCACAGTCAGGGCAGGGCTTTGGGGTCTGTGACAGTTCCCTCCTCATCACCCCTGTTCACACCACTCCACCCAGAGCGGTCCTAGAGTTGGTGTCTGGGCAGCTCTGTCTGGGGAAACTTGGGTGCATAGGTGGATGGGGAGGCCCTGGCCCGGCCACCAAGAAAGCAAGTGGGCCTGGTGGGTGTGCAGCAGAAAGAAGGCTGGGTGAGGAGCTGGGAGGCCCGGGTTCCGGTGTGTTCTCTGCCACAGGTCAGCAGGGGCTCCAGACCTGACGTTTCTTTTCTGAGGAAGGAAGAGCTGGGCTGAGAGCAGCGCTCCCCCGCCTTTCCCATCAAGGCACGTGGAAATGCAGTATTGTTGGCACCCTAGGGTGCACAGAGAAGCTTGGAGCTCAGGCAGTGACAGGCCCCTGCAGGCTGAGGGGCCAATATCTGGGCACACGTGTCACCACCTGTGGCTCACTAGCTGGGAAGGCTGGGCCTGAGTGACCGAGGATCCTGCACTGATGCTTCAGGATGAGAAGGCTGCAGCATTGCAGGACTGTGTGGAGCCCTCCCCACTTCCACACCCCACATTTAGCTGCATGCTGCCCCCTCCATCATCTCTGTGTGCAAAGGCTGTGGGGGGGCTTGGTGGCCCTTCTCCGGGCTGCAGCAGCCCCAGTCAGGGCCGCAGGGACTCAGAGAAGGATGCTGTTGTATCTTTGGGGCTCAAGTGCCACTTGCGCTTACCGTCTACTCTCTGAGAATTTGTGGCCTTGTTGCGGGGGCCTCCTGGAACACGTGTTCTTCTTTATCTCTAGCCTTCTCTTGCTGCTGGGCTTCTTGAAAAGTCCTACTGGGGTTCTGTCGGCAAAGAAAGCTGCCAGGCTTTCCCCAACCCTCTCTGACAGCAGAGGCACTGGGGGAAGGGTCAGTCCTGCCCCGCTCTCTTCCTGTTCAAACATGGGTCCCGGGTTCTGTGACAGGGTCTGGGATTCCTGGTGTGCAGTTAACCCTGAGTCCAAGGCCAGGAGGGGAACAATCGGCTCTGTCCTGACCCACGGTGACAGAGATGTTGGAGGCATTCACTTGTCCTGCCCTAGCCTTATAGGTGAGAAGGGAGATGTCATGGAGAGGAAGTGAGGTTTGTCCTGTTTCTAGCAATTCAAACTGCCCTTGAAAACATGAAACGGAGTTTTGAGGGAGGCAGCCTGGTGCACAGGAAGAGTGTGGGCCTTGAGCTGCACAGTCCTGGGTTTGAATCCTGACTAGTCATCTTAGGGGAGTGTGATCTGGGGCCTCATTGTGGCCTTTGTGAGCTGTAGTGCCCATGTTTGTAAATGGGAGTGTGTCCCTACTAACAGGTTGATAAAGAGGATTCAGCACGAGTGGATGTAGGCAGAGTGGCAGTGAGTCATCCTCTTTCTGCTGAGGGTGTTCAGTGGAGGCAGGATGCCTTTTAGAGGGGATTCAGGGGTGGGAGAGCTGAGGCTGAGAGTCCCTCCATCCCCAGGTGGCCATGACCTGGTGAACAGCGGATCCTAGCTGGTTCATTGGGGAGGCAGGAAAGGATGGAACAAGGCAGAGAGAAGAGAGAAAGGCTTCTTAGGGAAAGCAGAGATTGTTCAGGCAGAGAGAGGTCACAGAGGGGTGACATGGAGGGTGAGGAAGGCCATCAAAGTGAGGATGAAGGGCCTGGGCGGACCAGGCAGCAGTTTCCCTCACAGCCACTGGGCTATGCATAAGGGACGAGGAGAAGCTACAGGAAGGTGGCCTTGGCTGGGCTGTTAGCTGACACTGCCTCTGCCTTCTTGGTGAGGGGCAGGAGGCCTCCAGTGCCTCTGCGTCCGTTGCAGGCATTGCCAGACACATGGGCATGGAACATATTTATACAAACATGTCTTGTCTTTTTTTTTTTTTTGTGAGGAAGATCAGCCCTGAGCTAACATCCATGTTAATCCTCCTCTTTTTGCTGAGGAAGACCCGCTCTGAGCTAACATCTATTGCCAATCCTCCTCCTTTTTTAATTCCCCAAAGCCCCAGTAGATAGTTGTATGTCATAGCTGCACATCCTTCTAGTTGCTGTATGTGGGACGCGGCCTCAGCATGGCCGGAGAAGCGGTGCGTCAGTGCGCGCCCGGGATCCGAACCCCGGGCTGCCAGTAGCGGAGCGCGCGCA